AAGCCTTGTGGCCAAGAGGTTATTTTTTACTGAGTCAGCCCTACCCCACATCCACCCCCAAAATATCTGCAGATGAATGCACGAGGACAGGGATGACATCTAAATAAACCAAGTGTTAATCTTTGTGTCAGCGCGCTCACATAGTTGTTAAAATTCCTTTGATGTCCATGGTCAGCAGATTTCATAGAAACTTCAGGGGTCAAACTTTCATCACCTGATCAGGTGTTGTGTGTGTGTGTGTACTTTTTGTCTTTTTGGCTACCAGTGCTACCAGCTGTGACAGTTTAATGACTATTTGTGGAACACCGGGGACCTTCCCTCGTCACTCACCTGGGGTGGGAACAGTGGCTGAGAGCTCAGGCCAGGCCTCTGAAGGGAGGAGGGGTAACAGCACATTAATTAAACCCTTGCAAACTAGAAACATTTCAGAGAAATGGTTGCTGACGTCATTTTATTTACAATTGTGTGAATCCTTAATGATGGTGTCACCTCCAAAAAAAGATAATACAAAGAGGGGCACCTGGGTGGCTCAGACTGTTAAGCGTCTGCCTTCGGCTCAGGTCATGATCCCGGGGTCCTGGGATCGAGCCCCACATCGGGCTCCCTGCTCAGTGGGAAGCCTGCTTCTCCCTCTCCCACTCCCCCTGCTTGTGTTCCCTCTCTCGCTGTGTCTCTCTCTGTCAAATAAGTAAATAAAATCTTCAAAAAAAAAAAAAAGATAATAAAAAGAGAGAGAGAAGACTTGAAGTTTGTGTTTGGGGGGTTTCTTAGGTCTCGGATGTTACAGCACCAAAGATGCTGGTGATAGTCTTACTTCAGGTAATGATTACTTCAGGTTTACTAGCTTTTTCCCCTTTTCCTGTTTTTTTTTTGTTTTTTGGTTGTTGTTGTTTTTTTAAACAAAGACATTCACCTTACCACCCAGTAGACATCGGGTAACAACATAAATGAAATTGTGTCCTTTGCAGTTCGTTAGCAAACCTTCTTATTCATAGTTGGTATTTGTCTTTTCCCTACGGTGACTTACAAGGGGTGAACTATCTCATAGCACCATTGAGCCTTGTTTTGGAGATGAGGTACACAGGTAACAGGAAACAGTAGCTCTCCCCCCCGACCCCGCACCTCAAAATCTTCATATTTCTTACTACTTAGGCCATAGCTAACAACACCCCACCTTGCTCTAGAGCTTATGTAGATTATATATATATTTCATATATGGATATGTTTGTGTTTTCTTGAGATCAGATGAGCAGGATATGTATGTTTCTAAAATTACTAATGTGAGGGTGTTGCTGATGAGATTTAAAAAAAGAGAAAAATGTCCCTGTTGGGAAAATGTAATTTTATCCTCTGGGCGATATAACTATGAAAACTCAGTCATTCTTCAAAAGAGTATTTAGAACTTAGGTCCCAGACCTTAAAACACTTAGGGCCCTCGAGATACCTCCGTCCACGTCATTTTAGAAGCGAGTCCTTGGGGTTTCAGGCGAGTGAAAGGACCTGCTTAAGGTCACACAGCTAGTTAGTGGTGGGAGCAAGACGAGAGCACAAACCACCGTTCCGGGCCGCCTTCCACCACAGCTGCTGTGCTTCCCATACACGGATGTTCTTACGTGCACAGCCAGGCCCTATTTAGAGTCTACTTAGAATCATGGCTGTGTGGTGTACAGGAGTGGTTTTGTTAAAAAGTTCTACTGCAAGAACAAAGCTTTGAAGATTAGGTTAAAAGGGACTGTTTAACTATCTGGCTCTAATCCTCTCATACAGACCGGTTGGTTACATTCGTCTAATATTGCATCTAAGCAGCTTTCCTGAAGCAACTGCCCACGTCACTAGGAATTAACACACATCTATCTCCTTTGAGATAAAGCAAAATACAATCTTACAAAAGAGTAAACATTTTATTATTTGTACACGAATCAGGTTGGTCTGAGGACACGCGAGCATCTGGCTAACTCATAAAAGTAGCTTTAAGCAACGGGATGGGGGTTGTGGTTGTTCACTGCGACATCATTTATCTACTGGCTAAGCAGGGAGAGGCCTCCGACTGTGAGGAGCAACGTGCTGGGGGCATCAGAAGGAGGGAATACAGAGCAGCCACAGCCTCTTTTGGGAAGGCAGGGTCTGTGGAGGTGTCCGCAGAAGTCGTCTGCAGGACAGGCCTTCTGCGGTGGGAGGAACCCTCTGAGAGGGACTGAGAACCGACAGCTCTGCTGGAAGAGTCTTGTCGGAACAGGATCCGCCCCCCAAACACACACACACACACACACGGCGTGAGCCCGGGCTCTGGGGACCGAGGGTGTCACAGGGGCACCACCTGAAGCGTGGGCAGGGGCCCCCGGGGAGGGGCTATGTACTCTTCTTCCCTGAGCAGCCGCAGCAGGATGTTTTTCTTATTCTTGGGCCAGCTGTAGACGTGAGTGTTCTGAAGCCAGGTGGGCACATGCTCCTATGGGAGAGGGAAGGACAGGAGTGAAGGCCCTTAGAGAGAAACCTGGATTCCAGAGCCCAGGCTCAGTTCCCGAACTTCTATGGCTTCCCTTCGTGGGCGCGCCCTACTGAAGTCTCCTGGGAGTTGTGCTGTTTGGCTTTTGGAAGGGGTTAGCATGTGCAATGCTCCTGGCTTCGGGTGTAAGCTGTAGATCTCATTATGGAAACCACATGTGCGCGGCATTTTCTGTCAGCCTCCCAGGCTACCTGCCCTTTGCATTTCAACGTGCTTTTCACCACCTTCACATAAAAGGGGTAGGACAGAGGTCACGCAGAGTGATGGGAATTCCTTTGTGGCTTCAGAAGAAGTATGCCAAGGCTATGGGCTTAATCTAATTCATTATCCTTTCATTCCAGCGACACAGATCTGGCCTGCAGGAGAAGGAGCCCACCGGGTCTGTGATCAGGCAAAAAGCAGAAACTGTAAGCCGGGGATCGTGAGGGTGCCGATTCAGACTGCCCTCACGGGGTGGACATTCGGTTGGGGAGACAGACACGAATAAGTAAAATACATAGTGTGTTCGATGGTGATACATACTGTGGAGAAAAATAAGCCAGAGAAAGGGGAGAGGGAGTACTGGGCAGGGCTGAAAGGTTTGCAGCTTTAAGTGGAGTGTTTAGGAAAGGTCTCACTGAGCAAATGAGCAAAGACCTAAAAGAGTGGAGGGGGCCCAGCTTTGTGGATGTCTGGGTCCAGCCAGTGCAAAGGCCCTGTGGTGGGGGCGTGCCTGGCCTGTTCAAGGAGCAACAGGCCAGTGTGGCCAGAGAAGAGTGAGTGAGATAGAGTAGGAGAGGAAGTCTGGAAGTAGAGGGGCCTGAGTCAGATAGGGCCTTGTAGGTCTTTCTCTGAGTGGATGGGATCCCTTTGGAGCCTGCAGAATAAGCTTTGAAGCAGTACCTGCTACCTGTCACGCATCATGCTGGGTGTGGATGACACCCAGATCCAAAAGACACAGTTACTGCCTTGAGGAGTTCCCGGCCTAACGATGGAATGTAAATGAAAATGTAAAGAAACTATTTTCTAGGCAATGGTGTACCAAAGGGGCAGGAGGTGGGAGCAGCCTGCCCTGAGCACAGGCAGCAAGGGGGTTGTCTGAAGAAGTTTTAAAACAACAATAAAACCAACTAAAAGTCGGTCTCCTTTTCCATCACCATGTTCCCCCAGCCCATCCCCTCCCAACCGCATCCCATTGACTCAAGGCACTAGAGCTAAGAGCGCTCAAAAGAGGAACAATTTAGTATATTGGCAAGGGGGATGAGAGGGCAGTGAATCTAGAGAGATTGGGTGCTAGAAGGCGAAGCAAGAGTCGACTACACAGACAGGTGAGGGAAGGGCACTGCAAGCAGGGGCAACGTGTGGGGCACAGAAACATGAAAGAACATGGCAGGTGTGGGGGCATGTTGAGATAGTCCGGTACGGCCAGTGCAGAGTCACCGTGCACATGGTGGGGAGAGAAGCCTGAGCAAGTGGGCTCAGCCCTCTTCTAAGGGGCCTCATCTGCCACGCTAAGAAAGGTGGATGCGATCCCGGAGTCAGTCGGAATCCACCACACAGTTTCTAAGCTGGAGAGAGACAGATCAGATCTACAATTTGGATGTTCCTCTTTGATGGCAGAGTAGAGGGTGGTTAGTACAGGGTCAGAGTAGACGGGAAGGCCAATAAGGAGATCCTGCAGTGGGAGCAATGAGAGCCTGGGGCAAGGGGTGGAAATGCACGCTATCGCACGGAGGGGGGTGAGCTTCGGAACCCTAGATCGTCTCAGCTCATCTCTGCCTCCTGCCACATACAAGTCTCAGCGCAGTCCTGACATTTAGGGATCCTCCCGGGTGCAGCTGGGCCTAAGCTCAGGGTGCTGTGGTCTGAGTCTCAAGACATTCATCACACCTCTGCCTTCCCCTTGCCAAGCCTGGAACATGGCTGCAGATGGCTTTTGTCCCCATGCCCCAAACCTGCTGGCATGTTCTTTTGGTGTAAAAACCCTCCTATGAACCACAGCAAAGCTCACTTTGGTCACTGTGTAGATTTAATTCCTGTCATCTACAGATTTGAGAGCTGAACTCTGTGCACCAAAATACGTCCGTGGACAGTCAGCAAAAAAATGTACATATCTTGACTTTTATGTATGAGAGATAAGAAGTATCAGATGAACAGTTTTTTTCTCTCTCATGAGTTAAAATGCAAACTACTTCTTTGTGTGTAATGGCTGTTTGAACAATTAGGACAGCGATGGTCCATCAGATAACACCTTAAAACCTTCCTGATTCACGCTGCTGAGCTGCGTGCTACAGCCTGTGGATCTTTCCGGTTAACACTGTTATCTCTAAGGACCGATAAAAGAGTTTGCAAGCTTTTCCACTTAAAATCCCAGATAGCAAGCACACCAAAGCTTGAATTGTAAGGTTTTTTGCTTGCTTATTTCTTTGTTTACCTTCTTAGCATTCGGGAAGAGCACAGGGATGAATCTGAAATTCATGCTTCCTTGTTTTATGAACTCAATCTGCATCTGGAACAGACAGAATTTGAAGGTTTGATTTCAGGAATGAGGAGGAGGAGTTACTGGCACCCAGGACCATGCAAGTCCCGACAGCATTTTTATTCTGATTTCCTTGAGTGCCACACACGAGACTTTTAAGTTCTCCCCATTACACATGCATGCCATTCGCTCACTCATTAATCATTTATTGAGGGCCTACTAAAAGTCACACTCTGTGCTAGACTTCGGGTTTCAGGGATTAGGATACCTTCCAGGGTGTGCTGAGCTGGCTTGTATCGGCTCACGAAAGCCAGTTGTATGCCTCCCTTCCTAATTCTGTGTTCAGTGATTTTACACTGGTAGCTTGAACTTGGCCATGATGAGAGTATTTATACCATGGAAATGGGGAAATGCTACAAATCAGGGGTTTTTTGTTTTGTTTTGTTTTGTTTTGAGAACCAGGTTACCAGAACACTGCTGACACGATTCCTATCCTTCCAAAGCCAGCAGATTGGTGAACAGGAAGAAGGGTAAACTGCCAACCACAGGGCACTGTGAAAAGTATAAAATTGCTGTGGAAGCCCCAAATGGGGGCCATCCATTCTACATCAGTGATTTGAAGGGCAGTTACAAGGGAGGTGTCACTTAGATACTGGAAGACAAGAAGAAGTTGGTCAGGCAGAGGAAGTAAGGGATGAAGGGAAGGACATTCTCAGTAGAGGAAACAGCATGAGCAAATGTCTGGAGGTGTGAGAGAATGTTGGTGGGGCTGGGACCAGCTAGCAATGCTTTGTGGATGGAGCACAGGATGGGCTAGGGAGGGAGTGGGAGATGAGACTGGGGGTCAACTGTGAGGTGCTCTGCCCGCCACACTGTAGGTCACATAGTTCCAGTTTGTTCTGACACCGCGGTGGCCCCCAAAGACTTAGCTGCCAAGAACTCTATCAAACCCAGAATTTTCAAGGTGAGGGGAGCTGGAGTCTTCCCAGTGCTGTGGCCAGCACAAAGCTCTCAGTCATCTGATGACAAGGAGATGAGGAATTATGTGTTCCCAAGTATTTCATCTTCTGATTGATTTTTTTATCACTGAGAAGTCTTCATTGTGCAGGGGAATAAAAACAGGACAGAGAAGAAAGTGGCAGTGGTGACAGCTGGTTATTGAAGTCACCATAGAAACCCTCTCATAAACACACACACACACACACACGCACACACGAATGCTCCACAAGGTTTTTTGTTCTCAGAACCACTGTCTTTTAAAATTTAGAGGACCAAAAGCGTAGTTTAAAATGATCCGTGTACTGTGCAACGTGAAAACACCAATCACCAGGAAAAACACGTGAAAGGAAGGGCACAGCGTTTATAAGTTACAAGGGAAGAACTGGATTTAGTCTCTGACTTCCATCCAGGACACTGAATCCGTAAAGTTTTGCTTGTCCACTAGGCCGCCCAGCCGGCTGGCGGCCGGACAGCCGCAGTGTATTTCTCTCCTATTTCCAGATCCGGGCTTTTTGTGAGGTCATTGGCCCTATGATGCCATTACTTGTGGCAACCTCTTCATTGCCTCTGTTCTAGAGGCTTCTGTTGCCTGGAGGGGGCCTGGAGGTCTTCTTATCTGGCCTCCTCAACCCCTCCAGTGATAAGGAAGGGCCCAAGACATCGTTGTCCCCAGAAAACTAAGTTTGGAGGCAATCTGGCTCCTGGCGGGGCACCGTCAGACGGGCTCTGGGGTTGGGCTGTGTTTTACTGCCTGGCATTGCCGCACACCAGCAGAGCTTGACAGGTCCCCTCAGGAACTGGCAGGGACCAGGAGCCCATCCCACCCACCAGCTGTCAGCTCCCCGGACCGACAGCCTCCTAGATATGCAGACAGGACATGGAGTGCTTTGGGGCCATGCAGACCTGCAGCAGCCAGCTGTGACCCTTTGCAGGGCCCTGCCCATGGGCTGTCAGATTGGGAGAGGATGGAATGGCGGATGCTTAGCTCCTTATTCCTTGGCCTTATTCTCTGACCTCACCACCCTGCCTTGGCCTTTACTCTGGGTTGGTTCTAATCTCAAATAAGTGGTCGGCACTTGCTAGAAGAGGAGACAGATGGGGAAGCCTCAACCACCCACCCACTCTGCCTTTTTCCTGTGCTCCTGATCCACAGGACAGACCCGGACTTCAGTCAGCTTTCCCTGAGGTAAAGCTGCCCATCTCAGGCCTGCCTGGGTCCTGCCTTGCGCCGCTTACTTATCCTGTCTGGGCCACTTCAGCGTCCTGCCCCATACTCCCGTCTTAGTCTGTGATCCTTTCTGCCCATTCCAGGTGCCTGTGGAATGTTTCAGTTGGAATGGAGCTTACAAGTTCTAGTCCAGTGGATGTCAAGCCTTTTTAAGATCTCAGAATCCTTGGTAAACAAATAAGCCTGAGAAAGGCAAACCAGCTCTGGCTGAGGTGGGGTGGGAGGCCCAGAGCCGCCCTGACCCCCAGCACCTATGGGCACCCAGTAGGGACTCCGTAGAACCATTTGAAAGTTGCAAGTCTAGTCCAGCGTCCTAGTGAAGCGGAACTGTCTCCACAGCATCTCTGTCATCCTGGAAAGCAGGGAGATCACTAGCTCACAAAACAGCCAATTCCAAAGCTGGGTGATATTTTCAGTCAGAATGTTCTATCAGATGCCAAGCAAGCCTATCTTCCTATAAATTTCTCCCACTGGCTTTAGTTTGGCCAGGCCCCATGGTTCAGGTGTGGTGGTGGACTGTTGCTCATCTATCATGAGCTCAGAACAATCCCTTCCCTTGATCTGAGCATCGAGATGTGCCATACACTTCACAGACATTATTTCATTGAATCTTCACAACAACACTGTAAGTATAAGTGACCCATCGTATGATGAGGGACACGGAGGCACAGAGAGGTTTAGGCAGTTGGCCCACGGTCACTCAACTATACAGGAGGAAGCAGAACTTGAACCAAGTCCATGTGACACAATGGCATGCGTCCTTTCCACTCTGATACTCTGTGTCTAAGTCAGGGGACAGAATAGGACACAGATGCAGGAGCCCGCTCTCCTCACAGCCCTGTCCTCGGCCCCTCTTGGGACTGCGCATTTGTTGGTGAACAACCAAGCCAGCAGAGCACTGTTTTCCAGAGCCCTGGGAGTTAGAGTTCACAGATGAATCTCCCCTTGCTACTGACAAGAACTGAGTCCCAGAGATGGGGTCACTTGCCCACAGTCCCGAAGGTTGCTGGGGCCAGAACCAACATCCCCCACTCCTGCCTGGGGTTCTTCACCCCTCACAGTGCCACCTTCAGTTGGTCTCTAGCGGAGGACAGGCCTTCACCGAAGAAAGCGCCCCTCTGTGCTGCGCTCTCCTCACCACTCACCATTCGATGAATGTACTTAGTATGTAAGCCATGCTCATCCTCGTCCAGATGCGACTCAGCACCTTCCACGTCCTGTTTGTATTTGGGGCTGATTGCTACAATTATCATCACTGTCTTCTGTTAATGAGAGAGAAAGCATGTTTATGGCAGTGTAGAGTGCGGTCCATTTGGTGAAGGCAGGCTGGAAACGGGCCAGCAGGACTGTAAGTGTTGTGCCAGACTGCCGGCCCTGCAGCCGGCTCGTTCTCCGTGGAGAGTGAAAGGCCCTCCCCCCCCCCCGCCCCCCGCCCCGCCTCGGGCAGACTCCTGCCTCCCCTTCTCCCCTCCGTCTTCCTCGCGGCTCCCTTCCAACGCAGTGCAAACGGCTCTGCGACGAGCGCTCCTAAAGGCAGGCGGTGCTGCCCACCATCTTGCACAGCCTCCACGGACAACCGTCCGACCGACACCTGAATCACGAAGCGGTGCGGCGTCGCGGACGGAGAGCCCCCTCCCTCGGGCCGCTGGGTGGAAGCTGTCGTGCCCGCGCCTCCGCCTGCCCTGCTCGCGCGGGCCCTCCGCACAGCCACGAGGAGCGGCCCCTTCCGCACAAAGCAAACATCAGGCTGCAGACAAAAGGAGAAGCCACAAAGCCCCAGCCTGCTGAGACTCGGTCCCCCACCGCTCGCTCCAAAAGCAGCAGCTGAAGCAGCCCACACGGAAACACTCTGGCAGCAATCAATTTCTATCTTGTTAAAGCACAAAGTGTCCCAGTGGTCAGTAGAGATTCTGTCAGTGGAAAACAAATCACAGGGCTGCGAGTGGGCGCCTGGATGGGTGGGGGGTGGGGGGTGGGGGGTGCGCGGCACGGGCAGCCTCCCGGGAAAGCTCTGGAGCCCGATTCTGCAAAACACTTGGGGTGGCCTCGGATTAAATTGAATTCTGTCGCTCCCACCCTACTCCCTGCCTTCATTTCCTCTTTTCCCATTCTGGTCAAAAAAAATTGTTTGCTCTGATTGTTATCAACCACCTGTGTCTGGTTTGACCGTTATTTCCTGCCTGTGCACGTCCACGAGGGTGACCCCATCCTTCCTTTGCAGGTCTCTGCAAGGCTGCCAACAAGGGAGGCTTTGTTGGGACTTTCTCAGCTTTGGACTTGGTGGGTTTGCCAGTGCTTCTTTCATAAAATAACTCCACAGGCGAATTGTCTTTTTCACCAGAACACGAGCTCAGAATTTGGGAATGTACTTACATCTCTAAGGTAGCGTTCCATCCACTTAATGATATCAATGCCTCGGATTCTATCCTCAAATATGTCAATCTAGGAGAGAAAGATGTGGGAGGTGGCTCTTAATGAGGAGCTCTCTCTAGATGCAGAGCAAGAGAAAATACAAGAGACTACACGCATTTAAGATTGGAAAAATTACAAATGATTTTGCAGGGAGGAACATGTAAGTCTAAAAAAACCAAAATACAGTTTTCTTAAAGTGTTCCCTATTTTAACATTAGTAGGCATTTAAGAATTTAATATCCATTATTAGGATATAGTGGTACACATCAAAATGTATCTTTGGCTACACAATAATTGTTTTAAAAATCCGAGAGACCTAGTAGACCAAGTTGGATATAAGCCAGCTATATATGTAATTTGAAAGGCTAACATGATATCATCCTGGAACATTTTATTTATTTATTTATTTATTTTAAAGATTTTTATTTATTTATTCATGAGAGACAGAGAGAGAGAGAGAGGCAGAGGGAGAAGCAGGCTCCCAAGGAGCAGAGAGCCTGATGCGGGACTCGATCCCAGGACCCTGGGATCATGACCTGAGCCGAAGGCAGACGCTTAACCATCTGAGCCACCCAGGCGCCCGATCCTGGAACATTTTAATGAATGTGTGGGGTGCAAGTACTGAGATACAATTCTGGCACTTTCCTTGCATTAGCCAGGTCATTATTATGGTATTACGTCCAGTTTCGATCTATACATTTAAAAAGGATTGTATGAAACTTGGAGCAAATCCAAGCAACAGTCACAAAAACAATTACTGAGATGGTGGGAAAAGGTTTATGATGAAAGTCAAGAAGCAGAACTCTTGGGCCTTGAAAAGACTGATATTAAATATCAAGTCTTCAAAGGAATATTTGAAGGGGAGAAAAACCAGTTATTTTCTATTTTTCAGAAGACCAAATAAGGCGGCCTTTCTGGGGCTCCGGCTTGTCGGGCAGCCAGAGAGTAATGTGCGGGTGTACAAGGTGCTCTTGCTTAGAAGACGGATGCTATACTAGAATGGCTGACTCGGGGACAGTGTCCTCGAGGAGGGGTATTTGATTCAGCCACACTGCATTCAGATCAGTTGTCCTAAATGTCACTCCGCCATTTAAGACTGATCGAGTCCTAGCCATTCAGCAAGCTCTCCGGGCCATCTACCTCTTTTTCCTCACGTGTCCTGTCTACTTTACTCCCGGGCACCCCGAAAGCATAGCACAAGCCTCCCTGCTCTGTGAATCCTCCCCACACATTGACTTCCTCGTGCTCACCTCACCCGCCTCTGCCCCATTGTGACCAGTGGTCCTGGACAGTTAACACATTATTATAACATCCTTTCATTTGCTAAATGTCTCGTGTATGTCTGCCTTATCTCTTCATCGTGACTCTACTCTTCCTGTGGAATGAGAAAGTGCCTCGAGTACATGAAACTGTCAGACACGTACTGTTCATCAGGCAAGTTCAGAATATGTTTCTTTACTGATGGAACATCAAAAATGGAATGGGTTTCCTTTTGGCTTGGATGATTCCTGCTTTAAAATGTCAGATCACCAATGACCACATGAGGTAATCTTGAGAAAGCTTGTGTGGCATTCTGTGACTGGATCGGTAACCCCCTTCTATTATATGAGACAGAAGCAATATAACATCGGGGTTGAGAAGAAACAGACAGCTGGGCTCTCCTCTTGGTCTACTCTTGGCTTCTGCACTTCCCACTTATATAACTTTTAAAACATCACTGAAACTCTCTAAGTCTTATTATCTTTATTTGTAATATGTGGTTAACAAACCTACTTCCCAGGATGGTTGTGAGGATTAAAACAATTGGACATGGCAATATCATAATGCCAGGCTTGAAATTAAGTACTCAGTAAATGGTTATTTTAATTGTTAACCCAGCACCTAAATTATTTCTTGCCACTGAGGTGGGCTTTCTGGGAGGCAGAATGTGTTGGATTGTCTTTCCAGATCTCTGCCAAAGTGCACAGCTTCTGTCAGGCCAACTTCTCCACACACCCACTGTTACAGGCCAAATTGTGTCCTCCCCCTGCCACTGCCAAATTCATTATATGAAGTCTTAACCCCCAGTGTCTCAGTGTGACTGTATTTGGAGATACAGCCTTTAAAGATTTAATTAAGGTGAAATGGGGTCCTCTGGGTGGGCCCTGATGCAACATGGCTGGTGTCCTTAGAAAAGGAGATTAAGACACACGGAGCAAAGACCCCATGAAGACATAGGAAGAAGGTGGCCATCTACAAGCCGAGGAAGAGGCCCAGAATGAAACCAGTCCTGCCGACACCTTAATCTTGGACACGTCCAGCCTGCAGAACTATGAGGAAATACATATCTATTGTCTTTATAGCAGCCCTAGCAAACCAATACAACCTCCGTCTTCGAGTTGTCGTAACCACTGTTCCCTTGTCTCTTTAGACCTAGGGGTGGTAGCAACTCCCCGCTTTTGCTAGTCCCAGGATAGTGCTCTGTTCCCTGTGGATTTCTTAAAATTTACCTAGAGCTTTGAAAATAGTCCTTTCATTAAACTCCTTAGATTACCCATTAAGTGGTTTTTTTTTTTTTTTTTTTTTTTTCCACTAAGGGGCTCTTGATGTATCAATATAGTAACTTAGCTGTCCAGGGTGGGGCTCTGTGATTCTACTACAAGGCTTCATAGTGATCAGGATCAAGGACAGACGTAAGTTCTGTCTAAGTAGCCCCTGATTGGTAAGGTCATAAAAACCTAACCTCTTTTCCAGGGGCAATCAGTATGCTTATTTGGAAATGAGACAAAAGTGGGATCTTTTCTGAAATGTTGGCCTTATGACCTGCAATTTGATTTTATGTCATGGTTGCCACAGTGCTTTATTTCAGAAATGAGAAATTGAAATGTTGGTTCCTATGCAGTCAAGTTAGAATGTATAAATTGTATGCATTTTAAACTTGCAGACACTCCCATTAAAAAAAGTATAGACTAAAGAAAAAGTTCAATAAAAACTGTTAAATAATGCCAAGCAATCATTAAAATAGACATTTCACTACTAAGTATTTCTTTTTTATCCTTCAACATTGCTATTCATGGTTGTTTTCCTTAATTTTTCACCACTCTCCAGAATTCACTGTCACTAAATGCCCCAAGGGGGCCTCTGGGAAGGAAAAGATGTGATCTCAGTGTTTTAGGAAAGCCAGCCCTTGGAGTGGCCTCCGGTGGTATTTTATTTATCCTACAGAAGAACGTACATGACTTTAAGCTGTGCTGTTGGAAGGCACTGCAGGGAAACTTGGGGAGTGTGTGCTTCCTGAGATTCCTTGAGCCAAGATCACAGTGCACTGCAGGGCTGGGTTGTCTACCTCCCCTAGAACTAGACTAGACCAGCTGAGAACCTGGCCGTGGAGTCCTTGTCCAGAGGGCCATGGCCCCATCAAGGTGTGGAAAGCAGGTGGGCACATTGGGCCTTGTACTTCAGGCCTCACCGCCCAGGGCCCCGCAGAAGGACCCGGTACAATAAGCAGGTGGCCTGGGGAAGCCTGCAGCCTCCTGCAGCACAGGAATCGCAGCCAAAGCAGGCGTGCTTGGTGAAAAAGGGCAAAGGTCCAAAGGGCAGCAAGGGCCCAGGATTTACTTCAGGCCAGGGGCCAAGCTGCACTTGCGGTCAGCCTTAATGCATACTGTCTGGCTGTTCGGAGGTACTCAGAATCGCTCAAAAAGCATGCAAGAAATAAGTGCTGGAGACTCCGGGTAGCTTAAAACCTGGAAAATAATTACCTCCATCCATAAGCATTTAGTTCATAATCCCATAACTCAAATAATATAGTCTGAAACCTCAACAGTTATTTATATATATTTTCTCCCTTTGTTTTTCTTCTCACTGTACTCACTTTAATTGTTCAGCCTTCTCTTGGGATAGAATACTTACTGCAGTTTGGAAGCCATTTACCAACAAGAAGTTCACGAATTTCACCACCTCCATGGCTGTGTCCATAGAATAGGTGATAAAGACTTTCCCTAAGAGAGATTTTTCACATGTATTAGAAACTAGTCAGATTATTCTATTCCGAACACTTGTAAATTGTATGCGATATCTTTTGTCTTTCTAGAATAATAAAGTGAAACTTTGGGATGGGGGTGGTCTGAGGGCTTATGCCGGCAGCAGCTGGGAGAATTGCTATCCTCAGGACATAGACGCACAGACCGCAAGAGGCCAAGAGGCAGGGGGTCTGTCTAAGGGGGGTGCAGACTGCCCAGTGTGCAGGGAAAGAAGAATGCTGGCAGCCTGAGACAAACCAAGGAGGTCTGCTGAAAAACCACGTGAGGCATTAACAAAATCCATCACCCAGAACCTCAGGTCCTTGAGATCAGGCCACCTCCTGGTTTCTTAGAGACACTTGGCACTGTGCCTAAGGAATACTCTCGCAGCAGGTCAAGAAGCCAAACCTTGCTAAGGGGCCACCCAGCAGTATCCTCTTTTGATCTCACGATGCTCTCTGCTGCCCTGAACTCTTGCTTGACGAGAGCAATTACGGGAGAGGGAGGAAGTGGCTCCTTACCCCCTCCTGCCCTTTCTCCACTCACTGGTGGGAGAAAGGTCAGGCAGTTGGGGTACATGAAAGCAGAAATGTTACAGGAACGTCAGCGGCTTGAAGGACAGATGCCACCTCTGGGCATCTAGCATCACTGACTCCCTGCCTCCTCCCTAGGTCAGCCTGGAGCCACCGATGGCATTGTGCCCATCAGCCTGACCCAGTCAGGACACAAACCGATGTTTTCTCAGGCTAAACTCTTGTGGGAAATTATTTGGCTAGCACGTTAATGTGACAGATGAATAATCTCTGTGTGTTGGCTTTTAGTCTGGAATGGACAGGCTCAATCTCAGGAAGTCCCTGGGGCAGAGAGTGGAGAAGAAAGGAAGGCTAGAGAGAAAATATAAGTGCGTGTGTATTCATCTATGTTTGGGCTCTGGTTTTTCTTGAAACAGATATCTCAAATAGAAATGTGTACAATGGTCATATTGACTCATTTAAACAGCCAGGCATATTGATAGCACTCAGTGTATCCTTAACACCTACTATTCAACCAACTCCTGTGTAAGAATTTTAGGACTCCTTTATAGACTATAGTAAGATAAATATGATCTATAGACTGACATCAGGGTTCTATCCTATGCAAGGCAGCATCCATTCTCCAGAAACACTCAGGACTAAAATGTGTAAGATTTTAAGAAGATTAAAAAAATTTTTTGAATGATAAACAACAGTGGATCTTTACCATAGAAATCTTCTGGAGTCCTAAATGACTAGCAAGCACAGATTTCCTGGATGGGAGTCAGCAAATGCAAAAGGCTTGATTTTCATGTTTGGTTCAAAGAGGCACCCAGATTTGTAAAGGGCTTCTTAGAATTACCTGAGCTTCTCTAGCAAGCACAACAGAATATAAGAATTTCACAAGTAGTGGCTGCTTTTGTAAGATTTCTGGAACTCACTGTCCTGACTGACCTTAACATGAGACCGTTTTGGTGATATTTCAACATTTCTGGTTCTGGCTGCAAACTATGGAAAAAGAATCATCACCTGACACTTAGTCGAATGTTTCTTTAAATAAAAGGCTTAGTTTGCATTTGGTTGTAAAGCAGTATGGAGAATGTGAGACCACTTTTTCCAAGCAAGATTGCTCACTCCTACAGGAAATGACCTCGTTCTTGATGGCTGCGGCGAATTTATGGCGAAACGCTAGGTCCCTGGCCAATACCACATGGACATCCAGTCAGGTTACCCAGGGACGAGTCCCCTCACGAGCATCATTTAGAAGAGCGAGGCATTGGGGTTGTCACTGGAGCGTATGCTGGAGAAAACCCTGTGGTAAGCATTTTGTGAGGACTGCTGCCAGTATCAGAATCACTAAAAACACTCATACAAAATGCTGGTTACTTTTTTGGGTGAAGAGTAAAGAAGTAAAATTTATTTCACTGTGTATATGAGAAAAACCCAAGATTATGGGTGAATAATCATCAAGTACTCTAAAAGTATAAGACCTGACAAAAAGAGGGAAAAACAACATTGCAAACAACTTACGTAATTCTTCTGGCAAATTGCTTGTTTTCAGAGTCCCTCTGGCTGGAAGGTTACTAAGGGGTCTAGGGACAGCAGCTGGGGATGGAGCCTGGGGACCTAGGGCTCTCAACTCTGCAGGACACTCCAAGGACTCCTCAGGAACTCCAGCTCGATGAGGTGGCTGCTTATACAGGTGGTCCCTGGAAAAGAATACACTTATAGTCAAATTTTCGTTTTGTACAAAGGCAAACCTGGAGGGACAGAAAGCCTTTGCGATACCAGTGAGCTAGCTCTCCCCTCTGCCTCTGTTTCTTTTCTGAGCCAGGAGGACGAGGGTTGCTTCATTGAATTTGAGTCAATAAGTAATTCGGCTGGCTGCCACATGTAAGGACCCGTGTTAGGGATCGGAAGAGGGAGCTTGATTCGATTTCTCCATTCAAGGACTGTCTAATTGGGAAGGTAAGTGGTATGCACAAGGCAGACATGGTCACCCATAAAAGAAAGTAGTATAATGCGTGATATACAAGGTTGGTGTTATAGGCATTCAGATAAAAAGGCAGGACTTTTAACTCATGATAGATAACATTTAATTACGTATCAAAAGGTAGAAAAGGCCTTGCAGGCTTAAAGTATTCATGTTGTTGCTAATATATGGATGAAAATCTGATTTTGAAGACCCTTTAGAGAAGTTTCTACCACATCGTTCTATGGCACCTGTCTTATTTTTTTGGTCGCCGGTATTCCCATGAACGTCGTGCTGAGAACCGCCAGACACACTCGTGGGAGATTTGGGAAGCCGAAGGAAATGGAAGCCATGCTTCAGCCACTTCTGCGGCCTCAGTTGAGAAGTGCTGCCGTGAGGGGCTGAGTTCCTCAGGAGGCATCCCAGTGTCCCCTTACCAGCCTCCCGAGTCAAGGTGAGGGCGGAGGCGTCCATTTTGGGCCAGTGCAGATCCAGCAGGTGCAGAATGGATCCGATCGTTGCAGAATGGATCCGATCGTTGCAGTGGTGGTGGCTTCCTGATTCTGGATTGTGCTCTGGCAGCATGGCCTCGAATGGAGAGTTCTCTGGCGCCTTTCTGATCTTCTGCCTCTCTCGCTGTGATGGAGGAAGCAGCTTCTTCGGTCCCACTCTGAGGTGCTGCTCTGGGATCTTTCCTGGAAGCCTGGCCCAAAGCTTGCTCCTCCAGCCTCCAGCAATTCTGTAAGCGCCCACTCCCCTATGTCAAATCCCTTCTGCTGAAAATAACTGGAGTTGTTTCTGGTTTCTATCACTGAATCCTGACTGATAGGGGGGCTAACACTGCGTCTGTAATGTTTTATTTCTTAAAAAAAACTCTGAAGGACGTGTGGCAATATGTTAACATTTTAAAAATCTAGGGAGTGGGAACATGGATATTTGTTATTTGTTGTAGGTTTGAGATTGTTTTATATTCTAAATTTTAAAAACTGTTTTGATTTCCAAATTGATGTGTATCTGCCCAGTTTTTTTATAGATTATTGCATATGCTTATATTTTTACCCAAAAGAGTAAGAAAAATTTTGAAAGTCTTATGCAACGGGATTTAAAATAAAATTACACAGAATCTCAAGTGTACTATATTTCTGAAGTGTGAATGTTTGAGGAAATTATTTTTGTTTTAGATTTTTACTAATAAATAGAAAAAAAAATCCCTATAAAATATGCCCTCATCTAATGGGGACCCAGTTCCATATCCTTTTTGCATTAAATTCCTTTATACCAAAAGTTGCTTGGTTGTTATAGAAGGAAATTGCTCATTTGATTAAAAAAAAAATGTTAAAGCCTTGGTAATGTCAAAAAACTTCCATGTAAAAACAATATCATGGCTATTAATGACAGAGTAAAGTTTTTGTGTCAAGGTTTGCTTTCAAATTTATCACTAAGAGGATTAGCTTCATTACCTGAACTTATTTTTCATTATCCTAAAATGATAAAATAAATACAAGGAGACCATAGCAGGCTTAAATTGATGTTACCAAAGCAATTCCTCTGTACTAACTTCGCAATTCTTCTGTAAATCTGAAAATATTTCGAAATAAGTGTTTATTTAGAAAATTACCATTGCCTCCCCATCCAATGCCAGTGGACATGTTTCCATAAAGATGCTTAAGTTTTGTTTGTTTTCCTGACTTGTAGATATTTCTTATGCAAGAGTACTTATTTGGTTGTAAAATCACATTTTCCTGATTTCATTATTTAAACTCCATGCAATTTTTTAAAGTTTATTTATTTAAGTAAACTCTACACCCAACATGGGGCTTGAAGTCACAACCCTGAAATCAAGAGTCGCATGATTCTCCAGTGGAGCCAGCCAGGTACCCCAAACTCTGTGTAATTTTGTTCTCAAAAAATAAGGGCTCTGTCAGGAAGGAAAATCTGAGAATGTATGGGCTTTTGAGGAAAGGGGGAAGCAGGCACGTGCCTTATCTGCCATCGTAAATAGAATGTGCTTTTCTTCTTTTAATGAACTTTCTGAGCTAATTACCAACTTCTGCATTTCTGAAAAATCTGCTTTAAAAGGACCTTTGTATCTCATTCTATTCTCAAAACAGAATGTAATTTTACTTTGAGTGATATATAAAAATTGTGCTTGAGCAAGAGCAAACATTTCATCTACTCTTCAATTTTGTCTTAAATTAAGGAGTTCCCTTTCTAGGAGTTCTTCCTCTGTATTTTAGGTCCATAAATTAAGAGAAGAGGAAAATGTGAAGAAGAGGCAAAGGAGAACAATGAGGGGAGACATGACTGAAGGTTAAACAACTGGTCTGGTGAAGCAAAGCCAGAAATGGTTTTCTGCAAGAAGTATCGGAAAGACCTAATAATGGCGCTCCATATGTGTGGTTGCTTATATTAGAAAAGAAAACAATGGGCTTTTTAAAATTGCTACTGAGAGCTAATTTAAAATTTCAAAGTAAGACATGGGTTTAAACAGGTGTAGAAACTAGGGATATAAGCATGAATTTCCTAATGGTGGAAGTCAGTCACAGTAAAAACAAAAATCTATTTCTGGGCTAAAAGGCCAGGTGACTTGACAGTAAAAGGAGGGGGTGTCCCTTGGCATCTTAAGAGCCTTTCTTTCAAGAGAATTTTGACGAGTCACCAGTGACTTTAATGTATCTGGTGAAGAGATTCTTGTCCACCAGCTGCCATTTCCTCCTGACTTGAAGAGTCTATTCCCCTGCAGGGCTCGGTCACTAGCCTGGGTGGCACACCAACAGAGAGTTGTGATACATCTCGATCCCATTGGCATCATTCTTTTTCCCACTAAAAAATGTCTGAAAGTTGGCCCTGTCATAGTGATACCTCGGGAGCCCTGGGGAGGAGTAGTCTCTTTGTGTGGGCCTCTGGTCTTGGTCCCAGGGGCTGGGGTAGTTCAGGACGACCTTCTGCACAGGGTGCGGGCCCCTCACGCTGGCTCCAGGGACAGGCTGCCCACACACAGCTGGCTGGACCACTTGCTGGTAGGCTGCTCGAGGGTGGTCGTGGCCGCCTGTAGGTGAAGACAGCAAAGTGAACAGGGCAGAATGACTCTAGGGCCTTCGTGTGAAAGCAGAAGCTCACTGCCAATTTTTGTGTCCATACTGTGGGTTTCAGGTATCAGTTACCACCTCTGTAATGCTTGCCATATTTCTGTACTATTATTTACTTGATCGTTTTCATTAAATTGAGTCATTTTTCCCTAAATAAAAACATCTGTGAAATCACGAGTTTGGTGTTCTAATTGGAAAGCACAGAGCTCCACACAGGCCTCTGTTTTAATAAGATACTTAGGATAATCCAATCACGAAAAACTCTCACACCACCATTCTGACCATAATTTTCCAAGTTTCTAGAATCTAAGGCTAGAAGTTATCTCCATGATAGATACAGAATTGCTACTCTCTTCTTTCCTTCCCCCAAGGGGACACAACACACACACACACACATGCTCACACATGCTCACACACACATATACCATTCCCTTAGGAAGAAGTAAATGAATGATGAAACTTGGCTCATACCTCTGGGAAGTAGCTAACCGGCTGGCAACACCTCCCAACTTTCTTGGTCTTCTCTAGTTAAAGCCTACATGCACTTGGGGCCACGGCAGTTAGAAAAGGGCAGGCCCCGGGGCACAGCCAGGGCTGGTGATGACTTATGTGCACGTGTAACCTACAAGAAAGTGGGTCCTAGCCAGGCCCAGGAGCAGCAGGGTCCCCAGGGAAGAGGGGCGGCCTGCCTGACCAGGTGAAAGAAGAGAACTGAAGGCCAGGGGAGGGATGCAGGGAAACCAGGCAGGGGGAGTCAGGAAGCCCCTCAGGGACCTGCCCAGGCCCCAAGGGGCTCAAATGGGAAATCTAAGCCGTAAGTGTGCAGATGCGCCTTAGGGATGGGTCTAGCCTACAGAGGGGTTGGAGAGAACTGAGTGGATAAACTGCAAAATAAACCATGAGTACCTCCTCACGATCCACGCTCCGCCACCTCTGCCCAAGAAGCCGGGTGATCAGGAGGCAGAGCTGGTTACAACGAGAAGGAACCTTGTTTTTCAAAACAACATGTATTGGTCTTTATTCTTTTTCTGATAATAATAATAATAAGAAGAAGAAGAACTATAAGAATGTTTGCTGGGGTGCCTGGGTGGCTCAGTCGTTAAGTGTTTGCCTTCAGCTCAGGTCATGATCCCAGGGTCCTGGGATCGAGACCCGCATCTGGCTCCCTACTTAGCGGGGAGTCTGCTTCTCCCTCTCCCACTCTCCCTGCTTGTGTGCCCTCTCTCACTGTGTCTCTCTCTGTCAAATAAATAAATAAAATCTTAAATAATAATAATAATGTTTGCTTGCTGTGAAGGTAGGATACATGCAGGAAGGTAGAGCAAAATAAAACTAGCAAGCAAGCAAGCAAGTCACAGACAAGGTAGGTTGGAACCAGAATGTGGGGGGGTGAGAACATGGCTGGGGATTTTATTCTTGGTTTGGCAGTCAGCAGCCCTGGATGTTTTCAGGGGAACAATAGCCTCAAGTATAGACAGAAACCAAATAATGTACATCTTCACTGCCTCCAGGTCTCCACTGCCTGACTCAGGCAACTTGGCTGGGTGACCCTGAAAATGTGGCCAAGCCAGTCTCTCAAGCATGGTCAGGTTCCCTGGGTTCAAGCTATTGCCTGCTTTGACACAGGACACCAGCCAGGTCCTTCCTGTCCCCTCTCTAATCCAGGCTGTCTCCTGGCCCTGCCCATTATGCCTCCCTGCAACTGCTTAGGGTTGGTCTTGATGTTGGGGGCTTAGGGAAGGGGAGGGGGGTGAAGAGATGTTCCTGGATCTATCTCAGCTCCCTGGCTGGCTGATAAAGGAGACCAGGACTTGGAGAGCACCTCCACGAATGGGGACACAGGACTGCACGACAAGATATACCCCACAGATTTTGCTCTTACAGCCATTCTGGGGCAGGTCACATATATTCCAAGGGGTCCAATGGCCAGGTAGAATTTCAGGACAGGGACGCCTGGGTGGCTCAGTCGGTTAAGCGGCTGCCTTCGGCTCAGGTCATGATCCCAGGGTCTGGGATCGAGCCCCGCATCAGGCTCCCTGCTTGGCGGAGAGCCTGCTTCTCCCTCTCCCTCTGTCTGCCACTCTGCCTACTTGTGCTCTATCTCTCTGTTAAATAAATAAATAAAAATCTTAAAAAAAAAAAAAGAATTTCAGGACAACAGGGCAGGTTGTTACTACTGCTCCTTTTCCCTAGAAAAGGGAAAAAGTACCGCGGCCATCAGGTCCCCAGGTGGGGGCCAGCCCTGCTTTTAGAGGAGGCTCGTATGAGTGGACCATTTACGAAACCAGCTGCAGCTACAACCCTCCGGAGATCTCCCCTTGCACTTAAAATCCTCCTTGCATGATTGGGTCCCTGCCCTTGACCTTAGCCCCTTGTATGCTCTCCCAAGCTCACCAAGCCCCAGCTACCCTGGTCATCTTTCTGCTTGAATACCCCAAGCTTGTCCCTAACTCTGGGATCATGAGATGGCCATCCTCTCTGCCTAGCATGTTCTCGCACTCTATCTTTACAGACCAACTTCTTGTCATTCTGGGCTCAGCTCCCACACTAGCCTGTTCAGAGGGGCCCACCCCCCCCTCACCCAGTTGCCTTAATCTATCCCCCCGATTTTATTTTCTTCATAGCGCTTATCGTATGTATGAGTAAGCATGACTCTTGTCAACTTTTGGTCTGCCTTCCCTACTAGCATCGAAGGTCTGTGAATGGAGATTGCATGCTCTCAAAGCCAATTTCCCACACCCAGAAAAAGAGAAGCCATGAGACCAGCTACTTATCTGCAGTCCACTTTGGTCTTTTTTCTCCAGTGTCTCCCTCCACAAGTAGAAAGGAGAAAAACAAGGTAAAAGAGGAGAAACTTTGCCAGTGGCCTTGAAAGTTTTTAATGTTTGCAACCATTTTTGCTTCCCATATCCATTAATAAGTGGCTAATAAAGGTTTATTTGCTTTAAAAGGACCACCAGGCTCTAATCATAGGGTTTGTTTCTTTTCCAGAGAGCGGATGTTAGCACTCTTAATCAAAAGCCTTTGAATCAAGGTCATGTGATTTCTAACAGATTATTTCCCGCACAACATGTTTTTGTCTCATAGCAACAAATCATGTCATTAAAATCACTAAGGCATGTGGGCTAAGGTTTGATTAGCTGTAACTTTCATTTCTGAAATGGCCACCTGCGGTAAAAACCTACACCGGTTTCCGCAAGCAGATGAAAATGATCCACCTTACCAATTTTTAAGAATTGACAATAGAGTCCTCTATGCTGTGCTTTGATTGGTTAAAACAAAGAAATATTGAACACCAGAGGGTCAATCAAAAACAAGCTTTCCCTTTCGTGAGTGAAATTTGGTTGTGTGGAGAATTGGCTAAATGCAAAAACGTTTATCAGGTAAACGAGGATCTTTTCATTGCTCACGTTTTAATCATTCTGTTCCATGATTTTGACCAAACCTTGCTCGTTTAGTTGGGTACTCTCTATAGAATCATGGCTTACGTTTATTGAACACTCGCTACATGCCAGATACTGTACTAAGTTTCTTATTTGGGATTATAGAGTTCAATTTTCTGTTTTCCTAAAGAAGTTTAACTTACAATAAAATTCAATTCCCTACCCTGGTCCTTTCATCCTTCACCTTCTGGCGTAGCTCACCTTGCTCCAGCCCCCCTGACTTGCTTTTGGTGCCTTCACTACACCGAGCTCCTTGCTTCCTTCGCTTTCTTATCCTTCAGATTTCAACTCAGATGTGTCCTTTTAAAGAGGTCTCCTCTTGCCATCCTACATGTCTAACACCCAGTTTCTTCTTGCATAGCACTTAGACCTTGTTGTTTTGTTTGCTGATCTCTCCTGTCTGGCTCTCTAGGAGACTGTGAACTCCATGGAGACAGGACCACATGTGTTTGATCACTGTACACCCAGTGCCTAGCATAGGACTGGGGAAATATTTGTTGGATAAACTGATAAATGAATGGACAAGTTCTGTTGCCAAGTCCCATTGACCTCCCTCCTTTCCTTCCCTCCCCTCTTCCACAAGACCGTGAAAGACGGCCTTTCCAAGGCTTGCTATCACAAAGGCTGTACTCATGATTAGGGATTACTCCTTTCCCCAGGAGGCAGGAAACAGAAAGAACTTCTTCTTATTCATTCAACAAATATTTGTTGAACCTCTGTTGCTAGCCATGCAGTGAACATAGATAAATAGGATACAGTTTCTTTGAGTAGCTCAAAATAGATAAAGAGAAAATCTGTGTGTCTGTGGGTGTCTGTTTTGAAACACAAACCCACACTCGTTGGTATGTGAGAAGGGGAGGCGTGCAAGTCGGCAGTCACCTACTTGGTAGACTTAAGAATTACTGCCCAAAAATATCTCCCCCACTGACTTGTCCTCAGTGCCTAAAATTCCATCAAGAGAATTCATTCTGTAGGAGCCTGGAGGATAGAAGGTGGTGGATGATGGGACAAACAAGTGATTTGTGAGCACGGTAACTCCTCAATGCTGAGGCAGGGCTAATCACAGAACAAAAATACAAATCTTGCACACTCAAAATGGGTGCCCAGAACTGTATGTTATTTATCAATCTTATGATCCTCTTGGCCTGGGGACACACGGTCTTCATGTTACTAGCCTTTTACCACTTGGAATTTGTAAAACAAATCCTAAACAAGGTTTTCCACTTACCAGTCAAAACATTCAACGTTTTTCTTCCTTATTAAGCATGGTATTACAAAAGTATGAGAGAGAAAATAAAATCTGATTTTCAAGTTGTCAAAAAGCATGATGATACAACGCAATCAGTTTGGCCAGGAAACAAAATGGCCAACATAAACTGTTACCGGAACACCCACAGCTGTAAGCAGCTGTGGTTCCTGAAAGCAGCTCCTTTCTTTATCATTTCTTCCATCTGGGTTATTTTTTCCTTACTTTTAATTATGCATGCACTCCAGCATACAAATAATCACTTTTTTGGGTTTCTATGAGTAATAGTAGGCATATGCCCACAGTTTTATTTTATTCGGTCTTCTTGGTAGAGAAAGCGAACATTTGAATAGTAAAATAAAGGCTCTTTAGATTTCATACATTCTTTTTTTTCCAAGTGATTTGCATCATGGGTTTTATTTGATTGCACAGCCATGATCTCCATTTTGGTGACCTTCAGTGGAAGGATTCTGAGATAGTAAGAGGCCAGCTTCGCTGGGGGACTGGTTGGGGGTAGGGGAGAAAACACGGGCTTATTTGACTTCTACTTACTCTCTACTCATTTTCACCTGCTTTGAACTTTTTTTTTTACATAAAAGCGGTGACAAGTATGCCTCCTTTAACTTGCAAAGACGAAGGTATGCCATTTGCATGGCGATCATTATTTATTTATATTTTCATTAACGGATGAGGAACTAATGCTCTTGTAAAGCCACGTAGAACCATGTAGCCATGGTTTCCAAGCACACGAGCATCCCTTAGGTGAATAGCTCTTTTGAAGTGGTTTTGTTGGCAATTAAGTGCAGTTATGGTCCTGACATGAAACTAAGCATTTGTACACCTGCTTTGAATGCTTAAAATCTGTGCCAGCCGGAGGGATCTGGAAGGGGAGGGGCGCTCTACGGGACCAGGCTGCCCGACCCATGTAAGTAATAACAATAATAACTAAGAACTGCCAGTTGGGGAGGGCTTCCATTCCCAGCACCTTCAGTATATTATCTCATTTAATCTTCAGAGTGACCTTCCCGGGAACCACTGGTGCCAGAGGCCTCATAAAGCTTCCCGGCTTGCAGTGCCCTGAGGAAAAACTTCAGCCCTGGGCTTCCCGGACAAAGCCAGCCCAACCCTGACACTCCCCACCCCCCATTACATGCTTTTGGGAGCCAGGGCCAGGGCAAAGAGGCACGGGGAATGAGGCTGCCGTATGCTCCCATTTCCCGGGATTCTTCTTTCTTCAGCGTTTACTTACTTTTAATTATAAAAATACCTGTTTGCTGTAACAAATTTAAGTATATACAGTTAGAAGGAAAAGTCCCTCTGTCTCTTCTGAATTCCCTGCCCCCTCCACCCCTGATGCCATGATCACTGACAACAGGGCAATCCTTCCAGACTTTTCAATGTCTGGGTTTTAAACACATACAGCTTTTAAAAATAACACATATGGAATCAGCACTGCATCTTGTTTATCCACCTAATCTTTTTTATGTCAAAATGTGTATTTTGTTCTATGTAACAGTGGCCTCGTAGTCCACTGTATAAATAAACCACAACTTCCTTATCTGTCCCCTTACTGAGTGGCATTGGAATTGTTTTCCTTTTTACTCTACAACGATGCTTTCCTAAACATCCTTGTTCATGTGTTTTTATAGGCTTGTTTAGTGTTTCTATGGGATAGATCCTACAAGTGTGGCTGCTGGGCCAAGGAAGCACATTTAAAATTTTGATAAATAGTGGGACGGCCTTCCGGAAGATTGTACCAATTGCCACGCCTGCCAAGAACAGGTGGGAGTGTTCATTTCCCCATAACCCCATAACAATGGGTGTCAGCTGAGGATTTTTTCCTTTTTGCACACCTAATTAGGAAAAGGGTAGTTTAAAATTTTTTGCTATATATATACACACACATGTTTCTTAAATTTAGTAACGTTAAGCTTGGTTTCATATGCTTACTGTTTGTGTGTCTTCTGTGAATTAGCCCCTTCTGTCCAAATTCTCTTCTCTGCCTTTCATCACCTCTCCTCCCTCCCAGAACCCCCAGCGGCCTTCTCCTCCCCGCTTCAGTGGAGGGAAATAGCGTACTGAGGGAGGGCAAGACAGCTGATGAGAGAAATCTCATCAGCTGGTATTAGAGACTAAAAGAGTCCCCAGTCAGGGGTGTTTGCATTTTAAAAGAGTCTGCCCAGAGGGGGCAATTTGCACTCCCCTCCAAAGCCTGGACTGCTTGTGGTGTCACTTCAGGCTTCAACACAAAAAAATATTTGCAAGTGGGAAGATCTTTCTGGGATCCTGAAATCATATTGAGTTAATGCTTTCTTTGTCTATCACAATGAGGCTTTCTCCTGTTAGCAGATAAAGGCAACTGCCTGGGACTTAGGATCACAAAGCCCTTACTAAGTATTCACACTTCTACAGATTAATCTAAGGAATTCATCAGCAATGCAGATAAAAACTTACGTACATGATGCTTATCCTCGCATTGCTTACTGGATCAGAAACTGGAAACTCTTTCCATTGTCCAATAACAGAGAACAGCTTAAAAGCAATTTGGTAGATCCATCTGATTAAATACTATGCAGCGTTTTTAAATGATGCCGGAAGAAGTGCACTGAATGTCACTGGGAATTATTTTAAACTTTACATTAAAAAATATATATATATTTTATAAGTCAAAACCCCAATAAGGAATGATAAATAGGAGATGGAGATATGAATGGGATTTTTAGGCATATTTCAATTTTGTGAGCAAACATATTGCTGTTATGATCAGAAAAATTATCTCTAAACACAGATAGTAGAATGTTAAAAAGTAGTTGACAGTATTATCCTCACAGAATTATTCCCTTTTAACCTGGAAATCATGGAGAAATAAATGCAGCCCTGAGGCTGCCAAGGTTCACTCCTCAGTGATTCATACTTAAGGAACTCTGCCGCCGCACCCATCCTATTACTGGGCACTTAGAATGGGCAGCGGCGTCCATAACCCCAATCAGTGACTTCCCAACCTCCAAAACTCAAGGTCCCAGGTTTAGGCCTCCGAGGCTCTTTCTCCCCAAGCCTTGCTGCTTCCACGGCTCCTGGCCTCACTCTTGACCTCACAATCGTTCCTACGTTTTTCTTCCAAACATCTTCTAAGTTCCTCCACGACTTAGCTCAAGTGTCCTTCTGGAAACCTGCCCAGATCAATGCCTCCTTCAGGCTCTGTTCCCTTGTGTTCTGCCTGTCAGAACACCTAATGTCAGTATGGCATCTGCTCATGGACTTGTCTACCTCTCCCTCCAGAATGTAAGCTTTCGTATATCGGGACAAAAATTCCTCTCCCTCCTTTTTTTTTTCTAGATTAGGAATTCAACTGTTGCTCCATTCATTTTAGGAAGCTTTATACGAGGTGTACATGTACAAATACATAAATTATGATTGGTTACAACATTTTTGGTTATTTCTAGAATTTATTTTAAAGCTAGGCATCAGGCCTTTGGTCAGACGCTTTGGTCTGACCATTTGAACTGCTTTTTGTACAGCATTTATTTGCTAAGAAAAATATCATCTCTCAAAGCCCTGTTATTTCCCAGCAGCCTCAGCTGTGACTGAACATCAAGAATTGTAAAGGACCTTTTATCTCAATCTAAGACTTTATCACTTTCAGAAATGCTTACTGCACTGATACACATTATTCACCTAGCCACTGATTCAGAAATAATTTATTGAGAGTCTAGTATATGCTGGTCACTGTGCTAAATGCTGGAGAGTTATGGATTAAAAATATACCTTTGCTGGGATACCTGGGTGGCTCAGTCAGTTAAGCACCTGACTCTTGGTTTTGGCTCAGGTCATGATCTCAAGAGTCACGAGATGGAGCCCCACCTTGGGCTCCGTACTGGGTGTAGATCCTGCTTAAGATTCTCCCTCTCCCTCTCCAACCTCCCCCCCCCCCAACTTCATGCACATGCACACATGCCCTCCCAAATAAATAAAATTAATTAATAAAAAAAATGATATACCTTTGCTGATGTGGAGGGAGAGGTAGACAAGTCCATGAGTAGATGCCATACTGATGCTAGGTGTTCTGATGGGCAGAGCACAAGGGCACTGAGAGCCTGAAGGAAGGATTGATCTGAGGAACTTTCCAGAGGGACCCTTGAGCTAAGTCTTACAAGGTAGTATATGGTGATGGTTGTATAAGTCTGCAAACACTACGATTCATTGACTTGTGCACCTAAATGGGTAAAAGGCGAACCTTACAGTATGTAAATTAGATCGCAATAAAGCTGTTAACAGAAGAGGTACAGAGCTGGGTTAAAACGTTCAAGGAGGGGAACAACATCCCGGAGAGAGAAGGGCAAGCGCAAGCTCTTGCAAGCGTGAAGCAGTTAGCCCGGTTCGGGGGACTGTGGTCCTCGAGGGCGGCCAGAGCGTACAGTAGAGGCAGTGGCTCAAGTCCCCAAAGGAGTTTAAGCAACAGCATCACAAGAGCAATTCAATATTCGGGTAATGGCCTGATTCCAGAGTTTTCAAGACCGTTCTGGGATTTTAGACTGAAGGCCCCCTTTCTTTGCCAAATCTAAGATGGGCAAGAAGCATGCAGAGAAGGAAGAACCCAGATGCCCAAGAACTAAGTCAACAAAAGTATACTCTAGAAATCATTTGGGTCATCTCCCTGCCTGTAGGCAGGTTTCAGTTAAACTAACCGAGACAGAGGAATCTGTTTTCTCCTTAAAGTTTTATAGAGAAGTAGGTTCCAAGGGGGACTGGCTTGGGCTAAGATGCAGCATTCTTCTAGAGCTCCTGGCAAATCCAGCCCCACACGGAGAGCCCCGGTACTGGGAAGCAGAATGCCCTCCCTGCATTCTGACCAGTCTGTGCTGGTCTGGTGAAGCGAGGCACGGACACGAGGCCCTTGTGTACTTAGTTACCCAGCCCGGAATGTCCAGAGGAGGTAAAGTTCACTTACACGGCACCTGGTGATAGGGGCCTCCAGGACAACGGTAATGACAGTTCCACTGCGCATGTGCGGGAGGGTTGGGAGGCAGCATCTGTGCGCACGCTGGGTACCTCGGAGGTTCCAACCGAGGGAGCTCCCTGGACCTGAGCGGCCCGGGGAGGTCCTGGGGGTAACACGCGGAGGTGAGGGGCAGGGGCCTTTCCAGCTGCCTGATGCCCAGGACGTCCTGGGGCTGGGAATCATACCCCGTGTCTATGGTAGGCAGATCTGGAGCTGCTCGGTGCCTGGGGGGCCCCGGCTGTTGCACCGTCTCTTGGCTACTGCCCGAGGAGTCTGCTGAGGCATTAGGTAAACTTTGGTCTGATTTGTCTGAGTCATGGCCAGTGTCAGGAGAAGCTGCCGAAAGCTGAGATCCTAGCCATTGATTCCGTTTTTCCATAAACGAAAACTGATGCTCCGGAGGGAGGACTCCAACCACAGACTCGGGCTCATGCTCGCTGGCTGCGGAGGAGCCCAAGGGAAAATCTTTGCCCGGGTCTGGGTGTCTCCTCCAGAAGCTGTCTTCGCTCTCCTCCAGGATTTTAGTGCGCAGGCAGGTGACCTGCTGGGACACAGGCCGTAGGTGATTTGAAAGTTTCAGGGGTGGCTGGGCCTGAGAAAATTCTCCTGAGGAACAGTGAGGGGTTCTGGGCGCAGACAAGCTGTTGGGAGCCATGTTCCTTAGACTTGGAGCAGGTGGTTCTGATCCCTCTTCCAGGGGATAGTCTGGGCTTGGTTTCAGTAACTGACTTGGGTATGGTTCTGATTCATCAACCTCCACAGGAATGCTTCGGTTCATTCTAGTTTCTGGAACAAGAGAAAACATGCCACAGATCATTTCTTGGAGTCCCAGCTTTATGACCTTAAGGGACCTCATTCAAGATGTGATTTCAATGAGCATCAGTGTGACACCAACGTGCTTCAAAGCCCCAGTCACATAAAGTTGCTCACTTATTCTCCAGCAAAAGCTCTAATCCTTATTAAGATATTTTTATATGGAAGGTGACTCAAAGGATGTGACTGGACAGTGATGTGATAGATGGTGCAACAGGAGGGCAGATGAAAATCAGCAGCTAAGTATCGAGGAAAGAGAAATTATCACGTGGGCTGCTTTGTGCGTGCATGTAGACGTGTAAGACGCGTGTGCAGGATGCACCAGGTTTTGGCATGTTGGTTGCCTTTGAGGATGGAGTTAATCAGGGAGAGAGTTTTCACCTTTTAAACTTTAAAAACTTTGCTGTGTGGCTATTGCCTAATCACACACACACACACACACACGAAAGATTAAAAAAAAAGAAGAGTGAGTTTTTTAAAAGCACTGAAAAAAGGTCATAGTGACATTTTCCACTTAACAGCTATAGATTGTTTGCAGGACTTAATTCCCTTTGGTCCTATGCCCGCAGTTAGGGTAGCCCTGACCATCTGGTTTGTGATGAGCTAGCAAGGCTGGCCGAGCTCGCCTTTAGCCCACAGTCCAGGTAATACTGGTTTTACCTATAGAAATAGAACTCTTGATCAACATGACAAAATGGAAGAGAAAATTAGCCTCCCCTTATCATGAGTTTGGTTGAGATGATGCCCTAGGATACCCAAGCTCCAGGGGAAGGCAGGAGACAGGCAGGGAAAAAAGAGCAGAGGAGTGACTGAAGGCCTACAGAAGGCTCCAGAGCAGGTGGAGGGGGAGGGAGACAGCAAACAAAACATCCCAGAGGTTTGTTCTATGCAGGCCTTGGACATAATACCAGAGAATACGGGTGGTGCTGCTGGTGGGGGATTTTTAAATGCGTATTCTGGGTTCATGCAGATTTTCAACCACAAACCTTTACTGAGGGCTTGCTGTGCATAAAATCATGATGTACATCAATTATTGCTCTAAGACAAGTTTTGAAAAATATGAGCTCACCTTCTCTTGAGCCCTGGACCCAACCCAATGGCAACTGGACAGCGTGCATTTTAAGATGCTCCCTCTGAGCAGAGGTGGGACCAGCAATTTCCTACCAAATTTATCTTTACCGCCTATAGACAGATACCTCCAACTGCCCTTCCCCACTCTCTGCCAAGTGAACACTAACACTTCTCCTCCCCTCGCTTGGTGACAAACTTACCCATCTGCTGCAAACAACCTTTGTACTGTTTTCTGGCACAAAAGAAAACTCTTAGTTTCTAATTCCTGGTTGGCCCTCCCTCCGTGCCTCAGGCTCCCTCTTCTCCTGGCTGCCTGCCTTCTAAGCAGCTGTCTAGGTGGTGGGTGCCCCTTGCCCCTGGACTCTGCAAAAAAGAGACCTCATCACCTACATTGATCAGACCTTGTAAAAATGAACAGGAACCTACCGCAAACACAAATATTTCAGCAAATAGCTGAAATAATAAATAATTATTTTTGAATGCTTACCATTGTTTTCCTCTCTTGCCTACAATTTGTCCATAGCTATGAAATTGGATATGCCATACAACATGCTCTTCAGCTGGTCAGGAAACAAAAGTATTTTCTGAAGGGCTGGCCGAGTGTTGTGGAATCTCCTGCGAGCATCTGTGGGCCCACAGCTGAATGGGAGGGCAAAGAGATGCCCCAAGGGAGTCAACTTGCAAAAGGACTGCATTCTGTTGACTCTTGTTCCATGATGCAGTTCGTTGCCCACACTTCAGGTGCCACTGTTGACATTTTCCCTGGGGTTAAGTATTTCCCGAAAAAGTTGCAAATTCTCTTCTAGCCGAGGAGCCTCCAGGGGCTGGGTGGAAGCTAATGACAAAGCTGACTAGTGGGGTCATCTCACATAACTGAACACCCAAGGTTGATCTTGCGGCGGGAATTCTACAGTTACAACTGGACTAAAAAGGAACAAACGGCCCTGGATGGTAGTAAGGATGACGAGGTAAGGAACAGCCTCTAAGGAAAGCTGTGGGATTGGTAATCCGTAAAAGACAAAACAGACCCTGATGTTTTATACCTCTTACTATCAAGTATTCAAACAGCAAATGACTACTGAACTATGTGTCCAACTCAGTGCTGTGTATCCTCCTTCTGAGGCATGAGCTGAATTAAAACATTTTTTTTATAATAGGTAATACCTACAAGTGATATAAAATTCAAGAGTACAAAAGGGTATACAGGGAATTGGTAATCAAAACTATTTCTAAGGACTTAAAAAGCACCATTCCTACCTTCATGTTACTTGTGATCCAGATCAAGAGAGAAAACTAATGTAGGAAATCAAAGGCCCTACCTCAGGGCCTTTGCACTTGCTTCCCCCACATATCTGCATGGCCTGCCTCCTTTCTCCTTCAGGTCTTTACTCAGCTGCCGCTTTCTCAGTGAGATCGCCCTGTTCGCCCTCTCTAAAATGGTTACATGCCCTTCTCACTCCCTGTCTCTCTTCCCTGCTTCACCACCCTCTCCAGCAATTATCACCATCTTACATACTACAAAATGTATACTATAAATACAAATATCTAATACATGCCTTATTTGTTTATTGTTTCTTTCCTCCCCTAGAATTTAAACTTCATGAGGGTACGATTTTTGACTGTTGGTCTCATGGCTATATTCTCACCACCTAGAGCTGGTACATAAATATTTGTTGAATGAATAAATTATCGATGCCTGTTTTGGAGAGGGTACAGATCTGTGTAGCTGGAAGGATCACTGACAGTGAGAATGTCAGGCTCCATGGTGGGTGGCAAGGAGCATTTGTGGGCCAAGTACTCAGAGTTCTTAAAATTATATAGAGGGGCGCCTGGGTGGCTCAGTCAGTTAAGCATCCGACTCTTGATTTCAGCTCAGGTCATGAGATCGAGCTCCATGTAGGCATGGAGCCTGCTTAGGATTCTCTCTTTCCCTTTCCCTCTGCACATTGCCAAACCTCTCTCTTAAGAAAAAATTAGGAGTGCCTGAGTGGCTCAGTCAGGTAAGCATCTGCCTTCAGCTCAGGTCATGATCCCAGGGTCCTGGGATGGAGCCTCATGTTGTTGGGCTCCTTGCTCAGTGGGGAATCTGCTTCTCCCTCTCCCTCTGCCCCTCCCCCTGCTGGGGCTCTCTCTCTCTCTCAGATAAATAAGTAAAATCTTTAAAAAAAAAAAATTATACCACCTGGGGACCTTTCCCCCTTCCTTCCTTGCTTCTTCTTCTTCTTCTTTTTTTTTAAAGATTTTATTTATTTGACACAGAGAGAGAGAGCACAAGTAGGCAGAGTGGCAGGCAGAGGGAGAGGGAATCACGACCCGAGCCAAAGGCAGTCGCTTAACCAACTGAGCCACCCAGGCGCCCCCCTTCCTTGCTTCATCTCAAATATTTATTAAATGCTCACTGAGTGTCAGGCCCCAAGGTGAGTCTGGGCTATGCCTCAGAGGTCCCACCCATGGCAGAGTTGACCACCACCCTCACTTGGAGAATAAAGGTGATTCTACCACCCAGTGTGATAGGAACATCTGCTATTCTGTTCCAGACAGGGAGCTGGTCTGTTCCTGCACCCTGAGGGCTTCGCCCCACACAGCAGAGGGTAGGCATGCTTACAGCTACCATGTGGGCCCCTCTCAGCTCTAGGCCCCTACCAGAACTGGCAAAACAAACCCTGCCATCCCCTCCATGTCACAGAGAACAACTACACACAAATGGTACATCAGAGGGCCATGGGCAGATAAGTGGGTTGTTGGAAATGGCACTTTTATTTTTGGTCTTTAATGTCAACATTGTAAAAATACTACACATTTTTTAAAAAATCACTCAATATCTCACCACTCCTAATATTTCCATTTTTCCCTGTTTTATTGCAGGGCTTCTCCACACGATGCCCACATGGTTATAATGCTGGCATGGCCTGTGCTCCAGTCCCTAACAGGGGGTGACACCTGGATGGAAGCAGAAAAACCCTGTTTCCTACCATTGCCCTAGAGGAGAAGGCTCCAGGGGGCCAGAAGGGCTGTGAGCCCCAGGACCCTGTGACCCCAGGATCCTGAGCCCCTGGCAGCGTCATGGACAGTCTGTGTCTCCCCAGCATCCTGCCCAGCTCAGGAAGCCTGGGGCCAGCTGGGCCTGTCAGGCCTGGAGGTCAATGGCCCTGTCTACCTCACCTTGGGGCAAATTCCTGGAAGAAGGGAGAGGCTAGAGGCTGAGGGAACTCAATTCAAGGGAGTCTCTGGCTCAGAATCTTTTTGGGGCTCACGATACAGGTGCTCAGGCCTCCCACCTAGAGATTCTGAGGCGAGGTCAGGGCTCCTGTGTATTCTTGTTTAAGTCCCACAGGTAAACAGCTTCTCTTGCTCTTTACCAAGGGAATGTAATCTGTGCAATTTGGCAGGAACTGTCAGAATTGTTAAAGCTCATGCCCTTTGACCTGGTCATTTCACTTCTAAGAATCTCCTCTGCAGGGATATGTGCGTACTATGTGAAATGAAGAGGCTCTGAAGATGGCCAGTGCAGCCTTGTCTGTGATGGCAAAGACTAGAAACAACCCACACGTCCAGAAAGGTTCTGATTTTTAAAACTGTAGTCCAGCCAAACGAGGACTTCTCTGTGTCTTTTTAAAAACGACTGAGGAAGTGCTTTGTGAACTGAGGAGGAACTACTTCAAGATTTATCTGTGAAGTTAGAAAAATAAGGAGCAGACAGCATGTAGAGCATGCTACCCTTTGTACAAACTAAGACTGTGTATGTACATGCCATCTCGTCAGACATTTGCAACAGTGGTCGCCTCTGGAAAGGGAACTGGATGGCTGAGAGGCAGGAGGGAGACTTGCTTTTTGGAGCATTTTATACCTTCTGTATCTACTTAAAAGCTAAAAAAAAAAAAAAAAAAAGAAAGAAAGAAAGA